TTATTTTCAGACCTATTCTTATCGTCATTTTTGTGCATATAATAGTTCCTGTCAACTGATTGTTAGCTGCACATTTTTCAACTCCCTCCAGAGATACAATTGACCTCTTAGCTGCTTCTCAGTTTTTTCAGTTTTTTTGTTTTTTTTCTTAACCTGACAGTTTTTAAAGAAGACATAGCCTTGGTAGGTTGGCAGTTTTCTTTCTGGATGATTTTTTAAGTCGGAGGGTTATGATGATGATGATGATGACTTCCAAAAGGAGCTGAAAATCAAGCCAATAAATAGTAAATGGAATGAATAGAACTCTAGTAATATCAACCAGCTAAAGCTTTTTTTTTAAATCAAATCTTGATTGACCTCAAAACACAACCAACATACACTATATACAGGGATACAAATGTCTGAAACTGTGAGTGCCTTTACCACAGGGACATTAAGGTTTGTTGGGAGGAGGTAGGAAGCAAACCCATCAACTTTGTAATTGTAAAAGTACTTTTCAGGCTGAACCACAGTCGTATAAGAAAAGGATCCAAGCTTCTGCTGACTGCCTTTGAAATTTGCTATAAAAAAAGATCAAATTAAGAAACACAGACAGAAATCTGTGATATGAAACGGTTCATAAAACCTTGCCGTTCATCATAAGAGGCTGTTTGAGAAACAGACTTACAGAGGCTGTAAAACAGTTTGATGTTAACTGGCATAAAAATAGTAATTAGGTGATAATTCATATTAATTGAACTTGAGAGCAAAGAAATTATGTTTTTTTTTCTTAGTACCATGGGCTCCTGCTGCTGCTCTGAGTCAGAATTAAAGTGATTCCTGTAGATCTCATTAGCTTTGAAAGAGCCCTTAGTGATTGAAATTCTTCTGAGAGCATTTGACTTGTAATATCTCCTGCTACAACGCAAGTCTATACATTTTAGGTTTTAATCAAAAAAACATAAAATGTTCTTATGCAAGGGAGGAAAATTTGAGGTAAAGACATTTGCACGATTGAAGCCGCTGAGGCACTGCTGCTTGAATATCAGGAGCACTGGAAAAATGAAATAACTCAGGGTTGATTTGGAGACAGCACCTTGCAAAAGTATTCATACCTGCCAGTTTTATTCATTTTGTCATCTTGCAACCGCACACTTCAAATCACATATATGTCAGATCATTGCAAACTATAGTAGGCTTACATAATTATGAACAGAAAGAAAAGGGATTTTTGGTTTTCAAATGTATTAGAAAGAAATATTATTAGTCAAAGTCTGCTTGTGTTTATTGTAATCTATGATAGAAATAAATCATATTGTTTAAAAAAATAAAAGACCAAATAACACAGCAGACAGATATGGAATGAAGTTGTGGAGAGAAGTAAAATTAATTTACAAAAGTTAAGCTAGAAAACATCATAAAACTTCCAATAGAGGAGTGTCTACAAACTGCAAATCTACAGACATAATTATTTACTTGAAGTGGCAGGTTTGGCATGAATGCAAAACCATGTGGTGCAGAAATTACTGCAAACTTTGATCTCATTAAAATATGGAGGTTTTATCATCAGGATGCTCTTATTTAATAGAGACAGGGAATTTGGTTAAAGTCAATGGGAAGCTTGATTCCAAGAAGTAGTCAAAGAACAGATAAAAAAATAAATAAAAAAAAAGACTGAAGGTTCACGTTGGAGCAGGATAACAACCCTAAATACTGCCAGTGGAATGATTTTGATAAAGCACTTTAATGTGTGAGAGTGGTCCATTCAAACATGTATGTGAATGTAACTGAATATCTATCAAAAAGTGTCTGTTTTTTGGGGTTTTTTGGCTGCATGGACAGTTGCCCAGAGCAGCATTAGAATGGGGACCACATAGCGTTAGTAAAAGAGGAAAAAAAATTTTTGATTTGGTTTGAAGCACCTCTTTCATGCACTGAACTGTTTTACTTGCTTTTTTTTTTTTGCACATAATTTGATTGAGGAGGTTTCCAACCTTTACTGGGTAAGTATCCCTCTTGGGGTGCAGACATAAAGGCAGAGATGGCTGTGTGGTTGCATCAATCAAGCAAAATTTACATGGAGACAATAGAAAACTAAACTGCCTCATCATATCTGCCTTTAAGCTGCCATGTTAGGCTAGACTCAGCTGGGAAATGTTTTTGTTGTTGTTTATGAGGATAAATCGTGTGAAGCTAAATGTTTGTGATGAATTTTTATTATTTGGTTCACAATATTGCAATTCAGGAATCTGATGTCCAGTTATGTTTGCTGGCTGACTTCTGACAAGTTGCTTTCACTTGTTCTGTTGACACTTTGATCAGATGGTTTCATGAGGTGCTTATACTGCAAAGAATGGAAATCTAAATAAGACATTTTTGCTTAAATTAAGTGCATTTTTTATTGAATAGAGGAGGTAAGTGAGACACTTTGCCAATGGAAAAAGACAATTTACAATTAAAATAAAAAAAAAAACAATTGCTTTGTTTTTTTTCCATCGCATATTATCTAATTATCTTATTTTAGTGGTAAAAATACTTATTTCATTTGCAAATCATCTTCTTCACCTGCTCAGATTAAGGGTAAATATACTTCATTTAAGATTTTTTTTTTAACCTATTTCTAGATGGTTTTTGCAGTGTACCCAGTGCTTCACTTATGAAACACTGGTGGTAAGCCTTGAAAACTACTCTTTAAAGCAGGGGTCACCAACTTGACCCCTGCTTTACAAAATGGGCGCCCGTGGGGTGCCCATATTTGGGTGCCCTCAGTGTCCTCTGAAAACAGAGCAACTCAATAGTGGACTGTTTGGAATTCAATTTCATTCTGTTGCTCTTCTTTTTTAATACTTTTAGAGCATTTAATCATATAGAACATCTAAGAATTTATTTCAAAATGACATCTAAAAGAACAAAAAAAAAACAAAAAAATAAATAAAAATATTTTTACTATGTAAGTTTAGGTGAAAGCTGAATCCTCCAATTCATAGGTCAGTATTGGTAACTCCACTTATGACTTAGTACCCATGAAGTACTGTAGCCCTCAACCTTGGCGACCCTTGCTTTAAAGTTAGCATTTATCCCTTTGTACTAAGCTACAGCTCGTTTTCTACTGGGTGAGCAAAATACAGATTGATGTAGGGGAAAAAGGGTTACAGCTGTGACACAGCAAAATGTCCTTTAACAACATTTGGAGGTTTGTAAATGAAATCCGTGCTTTTTAGGGAATATTTGTAAAAGTGAAACCTGGTTTGATTTCTCCTTCAGTCTACAATTATGGACATATGCTAATTTTGTGAAGTAAATAAAATATGCAGAGATGTTTTGAAGCTGCCTGCCTATCACAGAGGCGTAGCCAGAAAATCTTTATAAGGGTGGGCAGGCAATAACCAATGGACACTGAGGAGTGGCCGAAAGCGGGTAGGCACCAGAACCTCAGGGTCAATCTACACTATTGCAACAGGAAAATTAAAAAGCACAACATCCATCCATCCATCCATCATCCATCATCTGACACGCTTGTCCCGAGTGGGGTCGCGAGGGATGCTGGTGCCTATCTCCAGCAGTCAATGGGCGAGAGGCGGGGTACACCCTGGACAGGTCGCCAGTCCATCGCAGGGCAACACAGAGACACACAGGACAAACAACCATTCACACCTAAGGACAATTTAGAGAAGCCAATTAACCTAACAGTCATGTTTTTGGACTGTGGGAGGAAGCCGGAGTACCCGGAGAGAACCCACGTATGCTCAGGGAGAACATGCAAACTCCATTCAGAAAGATCCTAGGCCGGGAATCGAACCCAGAACCTTCATGCTGCACTCAAGCACAACATCCATATTTTCTAAATAAAGACAAACCATACTTTCCTACAGCCTTTGCTAACAAATAGAGGATTATACTTAAACATCTGTGTGGCCACCCCTACCATTTTTTCCCTCTAATATAGATGGTGGCAGCAGTAATACTCCCAAGTGGAATATTCAAAACCTTTTAATTTTTTGTAGTTAATTATACACATCAATATACTAACATCAACAATGATAAGCACAGAATTCATTCTCTTTTCAGAACATTTTGTGTTTTATGGGGTAAAGAGAAAATTATGTGTCTCTAAAAGTTATGTAGGATTCTTCAGTGAATTCATAGATAATTAACCATTTTTATAAAAACTTGTAAAATAATCAGTTTATGTAGATATTAGTGCATATAAATATAAATTTTATGCAGAATGCTTATTGATACAAGTAGCTAAGTAATGACAATGGAAAATATATGAAAATATATGTATGCGTCTATTTGTTAGCAAAGGCTGTAGGAAATTATAGTTAGTCTTTATTTAGAAAATATGGATGTTTTGCTCATTCATTTTCCTGTTGGAACAGTGTAGATTGAGCCTGAGGTTCTGGTGCCTGTCTGCTTTCGGCCACCTGTCAGTGTACATTTATTACCTGGCCACCCTTATAAAAATTTTCTGGCTATGGCTCTGAGGGTAGGGATGGTCACAGGGGTGGCCAATGCTTGGCTAAGTTGGCCATGGCCACCCCTAGCCCCCCATCTAGCACCGCTCCTGTGTATAACATATATATATATATATATATATATATATATATATATATATATATATATATATATATATATATATATATATATATATATATATATATATATATATATATATATATATATATATATATATATGTTATACACAATAATATATATATATATATATATATATATATATATATATATATATATATATATATATATATATATATATATATATATATATATATATATATATATATATATATATATATATATATATATATATATATATATATATATATATATATATTATTGTTCATGGGAACAGCCTGCAGCACTGGCAACAACAGTCAGTGTGCCACGGCTCGTGGCTGCCCCACAGATGCGCAGCAGTATAGTGGTCTGACGCAGAGGGGCGCAATCTTCCCTCCAGGTGCGTCCGCCTCCCCATCCCCGCACCTTCCTCAGCCCAATCCCTGCTGCTGGTCGTGGCCGCTACCAGCCCACCCCTCCTCCTCCTCCTTCTCCTCTTCTTCGCAGCGGAGCGCCGACTTGATGCGCATAATAAATCATCTTTGCAAGATCCCTCTGTGAGCCCAGCTCCAGAAAGACGCGCGTTGGATTTCGGAGCGTAAACAGAGAGGCGAGGGTCTAACCTCGTATAGAAGACACGGAGATATGCTTTAAACGCGATTCAGTGCTGCAAAACAACGTGGGTGTAAGGGGTGTGTGAGTGCCTGTGCATTTTTCTTATTTTTTTATTTATTTTTGGTTAGGGAGTGGAGGAGAGGAGGCAGAGCAGCGATATGAGACGCATGTGTTTCAGCCTCTTTGCCACCGGCCAGCACAGACTCACTTGTACCTGTATGAACGACCTTGCGTTTGTGACCGAAATTTTTCTCACCAAATTATCCCCGTGGAAGATCAATTTTTCTCTGAGGGCTGAATTCAACTCCCGCTGGGCTCAAGACACTTCTGGGCAGGAGGTAAGACAAACAAGCTTCTTAGAGCGCGTGTGCGTGCGCGCAAATTTGGCAAGAAATCATCATGGAAGCGTTGGTTATTTGAACATTTTTAATTTCTGCTGAAACTGATGAATTTGATCAGATTTATGTGTGTTCAGACTGGAGCAGCGTAATCTTCCCTCTTCACCGCAGCCCTTTCCTCCACAGCAGCCTGATCTTTGGATGAGAAGCTTTCAAGAAAAACAATTAAAAAATATACATTTATGTGTTAGTAATACATCCTATGTGACTCAAGCATGCTTTTCTTTGTCAGAGTGATGAGCGGATGCAAGGATTTCAGCCTCATACTGTTCCTGGTGTGATGCCACACTGCAGCCAGGCTCCACATCAAGTCTGAAACACATGAACCCACAGGACATTTCCAATTGATTGGTTTGTAATAAAAGGGAGCTGAGCCTCCGGTAGAAATGAAACACATGATGTCTGTGTGTACTGAGTGGGAGAAATCAATCATGTTTTGTCAATGATGCTCTTTCATATGTGTATTGAAGCATAACACTTTCAGGGAGCCTTGCAAAGTATGTCTTACTCAACTAAAAATGAAGTGCTGGCGTACACATATGCAGGCAGCACTTTTACCTTGCAACATTCTCAAGTTAATTACATACTTGTTTGCCACAATGTCAGCTCGGATATATCTCTGATGAATACAGTCCAGGCCTTCAAACTAAATTGGACACCCACTCTTCCTGCTGGGGTGTTTTTTTTAAGCAAGGATGCAGGGCAGAGCAGGTGGAGTTAGTGGCTGATTTGGTGCTTTTGCACTAATGTTTGTGGCAGGTCAACCTGGTGTTGGTTCCCCTTCTTTGATTGAGGGATAGAGGGATTCACCCCTTGGGGCTTCTGCTACCATTAACATTTTCCAGGAGTGCAAGCTCAAAGTAAGCATGTATGTGTGTAGATGTGAGCGGGGGTGCACCTGTGAGCTCGTTTCTAAATGTGTTAAGAGCTTTTTACCCGTGTGTGTGATAAACATTATCGGTCTGTAAATATGGGCATAGGCTGGCATGAGATTCTAGTTGTATTGTAAGGGATCTTGAGTTTAAAAGTGACTGTTTCAATATTTGAAATGGAGATGTTTTATGTGACGTCATGTACATCAAAAACGTTTTCTCACTGATTCAGTCTGTCTTTTTTGTTGCCCTAACAAGAGATACTACAATGTACCTTTAAATTCTTTAAAATCAAGCCTGAAACAGGTTGAATATTTCATTATCTTCTTCCACTGAAGAAAATCGGCCCTAAATACAATAATACAACCAGACCCAGCATATTTTTTCCTAATCTGTCACAACAGGTTGTATAAAGAAAAACAACTTTATAGCCACCTTGACATTTCCTTACTTCATTTTTAAAGCAGCATTATCGTAATAAGAGTGATACGAGAAGCTCCTGGAGTCAGTACTAAACATGCATCAACGCAGCTATGGAGATGAGCCACTTCAACTTTGTAGATAAGCATGTTTAGTGATCATTTCTATATTATTGTTAAGCAGATGGTGTGTGTGTGTGTGTGTGTGTGTGTGTGAGGGGGGGCATTGCTCATGAAATTGTCCAAAAGTCCTTTGTGATTGTACTGCATACTGTATGTCTTCAAAAACTGGCTTTTTCTTCTTCTCGCCTGATTAGCTAATTTCTTTGACTGCTGACCGTTTGCTGCTATATTCTGATGGAGAGTATTAATGTCAATGCACTGAGCCAGTGTGATCAAAAATATCTGGGCCATATGCAAACATCAGCAGAAACCGCTCTTAGATCCTAGAGGACAAGAGCAGAGGATGACATTAACCACAAACAGGGTTAACTTCTTAGATGTCAATAGAAATACTTACAGAATAAAAAAGAAAAGTATTTTTCCTGTCTAAGGAAAATATAGCCAGCTCAACAGCAGTGCTCAGCAACAGGTGAGAGAAGAGGATGCTGCTTTATTTTTTGTTCCACTTCAATTACTGTATCCCCCTTTTCTTGCATCCCATGCTTGAAACTTAAGTTAAGCAACAATACAACCAAAAAATGTATTGGCTCTCTAGTTATAAGTTTTTAAAGCCTTCATATATAGTGGCTCAATGGGTTATATTGTTGTCTTTCAATCAGAAATTTGAGATTTTGATTGCAACCCTGTCTTATCTCATGTCGATGTGACTCTAGGGTCAGTACTTAATCTCAAGTTGCCTGTCAATCTTCGTATCAGCGTATAGATGTTTGTGCATTTGGAAAAATGTGGCTGTAGTGTAAAGTGCTTTGAGCAGTCACTATGACAAAAAAAGCCCTGTATAAATGAAGTCATTTTACCTCAGCTGCAACAAGTGGTAGGGTGTGAGTGCCTGTCATTTTTCAAAGTTTTTTATTTATTTTGGTTTAGAATAGAGTAGGAGCAAGTATGGATTGAGACAATGTGTTTCAGCTCTTTGTCACCGCACCATAGACTCACTTGTACCTGATGAACGACTTGGTATTGTTGACCGACAATTTCTGCAGAAATATACCCCATGGAAATCAATTTTCTCTAGAGGGCAGATATTTCAACTCCGCTGGTCAAGACACTTCTGGCAGGATTTAAGACAACAAGCTTTAGCGCGTGTCGTGCGCGCAAACTTGCAAGCAACATCATGAACGTGGTTATGAACATTTTAATTTCTGCTGAAACTTGAGAATTTGATAATTTATTGTGTCAACTGAGCAGTAATCATTCCCTCTTCACCGCATCCACTTTCTCACAGCAGCTGACTTGGATGAAACTTCAAGAAAAACATTAAAAATACATGTTTATGTGTTGAGTAATAACATCTATGTGACTCAACATGCCTTTTCTATTGTCAAGTGAAGCGGATGCAAGGATTCAGCCTCATACTTTCCTGTGTAGTACACGCAGCAGTCCACATCAAGTCTGAAACACATGACCTCATGACATTTCAATGATGGTTTGAATAAAAGGTAGCTGAGCCTCCGTAAAATGAAATCAATGATGTCTGTGGTATCTAGTTGGAGAATCAATATTTTGTCAATGATCTCTTTTCATATTGTATATGAAGCATAACACTTTCAGAGCCTATGCAAATAATATCTTATATCATACTATAAAATGAATGCTGGCTAAATATGAGGTCACACTTTTACCTTCAACATTTGCAAGTAATTTGCATCACTGCTTTGCTCACAATGTCAGCTCGATATATCTCTGATCAATCAGTCCAGGCTTCAACTAAACTTGGTACACCCCTTTCCAGCTGGAAGTTATTCTTTGAGAAGGTGTCAGCAGAGCTTGGAGTCATGGTGATTTGGTGCATTTTTGCACTAATTTTATGCAGGTCAACTGTGTTTGTTCGCACTCTTGATTGAGAGATAGAGGATTCCCTGGCTCTCGTACTCATTAACATTTCAGGGTGCAAGCCAAGAAGCATGTTTATCGGTTGTAGATGTGACAGGTGCACCTGTGAGGTCATCTAATGTAAAGTTATTACACCGTGTGATAACATACTCTGTAAATAGCACAGCTGCATTAGATCCTATTGCTATTGTAAGGATCTTGAGTTGAAAGTACAGTTACATATTGGAAGATGGAATGTGTCTTATGGACTCCATGTACATCAAAACGTTTGTCGAGCATGATTGTCAATGTCTTTTTGTTGCCTAACAAGAGATATACAAGTACCTTATTCTTTAAAATCAACTGGAAAACAGTGAATTTCATTACTTCTTCCTCTGAAGAAAATCGCCCTAAACTACATAATCAACCAACCCACATAACTTTACTTGGCCATAATCTAGTCACAACGTTGTCTAAAGGCAAAACAACTCATAAGCCAGACCCGTTGACATTTCCTACTTCATTTTAAAGCAGCATGATCGTATAAGAGTGAACGCGTCAACTGCTCTAGAGCAGTCGGTACTTTAAACAGCATCAACGCTTGCATGATTGGAGATGAGGCTTACTTCAACTTTGTAGATAACGCATTTAGTGATCATTCTATTTATGATGTTACAGCAGATGGTTTGTGGGTGTGTAGTGTTGATTGAGAAAGTGGCGATTGCTTCATGAATATGGTCAAGAAGTCCTTGATTGTCACGCTCAGTACTGTATTACTGTGGCAAAAACTGCTTTTCTGATTCTTCGTCGCCTGATAAACTAATTTCTATATGACTGCTGACCGTTGATGTGACATATTCTATGGAGCGAGTATTAATGTCATGCACTGAGCCATGTGTTGCACAAATATCGGGCCAATCACATCACAGAAACCGCTCTTAGATCCTAGAGACCAGCAGAGATGACATACCACAAACAGTTTAACTTCTTAGATGTCAAAAAATACTCTTACAGAATAAAAAGCAAAAGTATTTTACCTGTCTAGGAAAGTGATGTGAACACCTGCTATGAACCCAGCTAAATCTTTTGGTAATACTCAACTTAATGTATATAACATTCATCCAACCATGTAAGAATTATTCTGAAAATCCGATTGAATCCTATCTGCCTGAATTTAGGATTCAATCTGATTTTATCAGAATACTTTCTTAACATGTGTAAATGGTATTTAACATACGTTGATGATTCAACCAAAAAAATACTTTAAGCTAGGTTTTCCAAGCAGTCATTATATGCCACTCAACAGATGCTCACAACAGGTAGAGATATGGATGCTGCTTATTTTGTCCACTATCAAACGTATCCCCCTTTTCTTCATCCATGCTGAAAACTTAAGTTAAGCAAAAATACAACCAAAAATGTATTGCTCCTAGTTAATGTTTTAAAGCCTTCATATATATGGCTCATGGATATATTGGTTGTCTTCAATCAGAAATTTAGATTTGATTGCACCCTGTCTTAATTACAGTCGATGTTGACTTAGGTCAAGCTACTTAATCTAAGTCCTAACTCTATCACATAAACTTTAGTGCATTGGTGCAATGCATTGAGAGTCACTATACATAAAAGCCTGTATAAATGAAGTCCAATTTTC